CGTTGTATTAAACTTTGTCTTGACCGTTGAATCATTTCTGGGGTAATGGTTGCCACCGCTTCTGTAATGCGATCATTTAATTCTTGGATATTGTTAACCGGTTCAGAATACACGTATTCTTTTATAGCAGCCCATAAAAAAAAATCGAGTGGTGTGAGATCAGGAGATCTCGCTGGCCAAGCTCTACCAAGGACCACCACGGCCAATCCACATATCGGAATACATTTCATTTAAGATTTCTCGAGTTCCTCTTGCGTAATGTGGTGGTGCTCCATCGTGCTGGTACCACATTGCACGGCGTTCCGCCAATGACATGTCTTCTAGAAGTCCCGGTAAATCCTCAACCAAAAAATGACGATAGATTTCGCCAGTAACTCGAGCGGGAAGCTCGAATGGTCCTATCTATTGAAGTATCGTTGTGTTACTTAATTGTATTATTTTTCACAAAGTTTGTGTAGTTACGCTATAAAAGCAAAGACTGAGATTGAAATTATGCTTACATAGGAATATGTAATAATAAATGATAACAATAGTTAATAGTAAATGTGAAGTTGCTTTTTTAAGTTAATCTCAGCATTAGCAAATTTAATAATTAAAAATCACCTCTAAAAATTTACATACGTTCTCAAAATTGACAATACATATTAGTTACTGAGATAATCACAAGAAAAATTAAATAGTTATTCAATACAAATGCTAAAATATGTAAATGCTTACTATAGTATTATTATGTATCCCAGCCCACAAGTTTATGCTGAACCGATGCTGGAAACTCCTGACCCGGAATTGGTGGGGATTTTCATTTCCCCAAAAATGATAATTATGGGTGTTGAATGTGCCATCGCGTGTGAAAATTGATTCATCGGTGAATAAAATATTCTATATGAAATGTGCGTCTTGTTCGTGTTGCTGCAATAACCACCGACAAAAATCAATTTGATTTTCGTAGTCTGGAGGCATTAGATTGTGTACACGCGAGAAATGGAAAGCGTACATTTGGTTGTAATTCAAAATTCGATGCGTACTCGTTATGGATACATTGACCATACGAGCCACCGTCCTGATGCTCCTTATAGGGTCTTCTTCGACTACTCGAAGCACAGCTTCTTCATTTCTGACGTTCCGAACAAGACGTTGGGCTCCTGCACCCTCTTGTCTTCTTTGACGAGCAAGCACTCCTGAATTTCTTGTTCTATTTATTAATCGCCGAATGACATTTCCATCAGGATGTCTACGATTCGGAAAATTTTCGGCGTAAGCCCTCGCAGTAGCTTCTGCGTTTCGCATACATTCGCCATACAAAATGATCATTTCGCAATACTCTTCTGATGAATAATCCATTGTTATTTTATAGCACTAGAATTCCGGTTAGTTTCACCTAGCTTGGAACTTCCAATCGGAGGAAAAGATTCTATGTAAATAAATACCCGAAACGAGATGAAAACAAATGAAAACAAAAGCACTTAGTCAGGCGCCGCGGAACCGGGGGGGGGGGGAACTGAAGAATTTATTTTTTATACACAAGCGATTGTTTAAAACAATTGGGTTTTATTTTAATGTTTACTAACGTGATAGTATTAATAATAATTTCTAAACGATATGATTACGATATGAAAAAATAGCTTCTACAAAACTTAATTTTACAATTACTGAACGACAAGTAATTATTAACTTTATTGTTAATTGTACATTTTATTAACAAATGGTACGAGTAATTGATGTGGCAGAATGTATTGCGAACAAGAATGGTTCATGCCGCGCCGCTCCTGACGGCGCGAAATGCGGGCCCCGTGGTTGCTTAACTTCTAATGCGTTTTATTCAAAAACTATTGATCTCACAACTTTCTTGTAAGGACATTTTTTACTCACATTATCGAGATCTATCCACTCCTTCAAGGACCTGCGGTTGATCTGGTATTTATATTACTGTAAATTTTATATTTTATTTGATCCAAAACTAAATAAAATAAAAAGTTTGAAGAAATGCATATAACACATATATATATCTCATTCAGTCTTTTTAATTTTATTTTATATAAGATTAAATATATAGTTTTACATTTGTACAAAGTGTTATTACATAAATAGTATATTATATTTTTTAGTTCTTAAGAAAACATCATATAATAAAAATTTTAATAAACATGAATAGAAAACTGTTAATAAACATTAAAATATAATTATAAAAAAACTTTTAATGTTCAACGCATAATTATTTATATTAATTATATATTTATATTAATGATTGCACAAACTTATTAAGAACGAAACATCTGCTGTTTGTTATATACATGTTACATACATGTATGTTACATAGTTTAATAAAAAATAAAAAGAAAAATATCTAATTATAACAAATAAAACAAAATTCTAATGTTCATTATGCAGATTTTCTTAAAATATTTATATCTTCATTTTTTGTATATCATTCTTGATGTTGATCTTGAATATTATCAGTTTGGTTTCTTTCTTTGTTTCTGAAATAATCAATAAATTTAATATTTAAGGTAATATAATTATTATTAAATATAGAAATATCATATAAAGAAATATATAATAAAATAATTCTAAAATATAATTATAAGAAACGTACAATAATCTTTCAATATTCATTTGAATATATATGTTACTTTGAATAGAAAAACATAATGAATATCATATCTGAATATTATTATTAGAAACAAATTACTTAAAAAAATGAACATCATTATTAGAAACAAATTACTTAAAAAAACTCTGAATTGATATATACAATTTTCTAATAAATATTAATATTAAAAAAAAATAATGTTTACTTACGCAATTCTACGAACACGTGCAGGAGCTTGAACGATCCAATTGATAATAATTTTTATAATTATTTGCTCGGTTGAATATGCGTCGTATGAACGAACAACAGCTACAAATATATATATCAATTTATAATATTATATACATTATCATCACAAACGATATTCATTTATGCTTTGTTCCAATATAACTATTCTGTAGTATAACTATTTCTGATACAATGCTATAACGATTTTTGCAGTATTAATCAATACTTGTTTCATATTATGATTATAGTGTCAAAAGAGACAGAAGGAATTAGCAGAAATTGTTAATTTCGAAAAACAACCACAATTATATAATTATTGATAATAAATGGCTTTGAAATTTTTTACCTATAATTAAACTGACAATCTTAAAACTTCGGAATTCATTTTTTCCTCGAGCTCCTTTCCAGCTAAATAACATTAATATTTCGTCCTTTATTAAAGTTCTGAAAATATTTTTTATCTTGTCTTGTAAGTTTGTTCCACCTTTCAATTTCAAAAAGTCTCTCTGAAATAATTTGAAATATATAAATAATTAAAATATAAATATAAATAATATTATAAAATAGAAATAATTAAAATATAAGTATGAAATGTGTGAAGTTATATGTGTATATACATATACACATATATATATATATATATATATATATATATATATATATGAAATGCAATTATGTATAATCGCTCATATAATTGATTATCAAATAATAATTATTAATTATTAATAATAATTATAATTATTAAGTAAAAATATAAACATTTACCATTTTAACGAAAAATTCTTCGTTTTTTAAATTTTCTTTTAACTGTTGTAATTCATCCATTGAAGAAATAGTGTTGAAAGCAAAATCTTCTTCGACATTATTAATATTAATTTCTTTACTTGTAATGTGGTCTGCTTTATTTTCTAATCTACTGAGCCTTTTGTCGATGTATATCACTTCAACTAAGATGCGGTTAACTTTTTTCAAAATTTCCTTCAACACTGAAAATTAGCATATCATGAGTTATATTTAAAAATATTACATTAAAAAAGTTTTTATATTAATATATTTAACCTTTCTGAAATTGATCTTCATTATTTAGATGTGTTGTTTCTTTATTATATTCATCGATGGAATGAACATTATCTTCATCGATAAAACCTCCTTCATTGTTATCTTCCAACTCTGTTTTCTTACGTTTAGCAATAACTTCAATTTCTTGTTGAAGACTCTGTTTTTTCTTATGAGTTTTAATTATTTCGATTTTTTCGGATGAAATGATCGGATGTTCATAGGTCGCCAAAATCTGTGCAGATTTTTTCGAACGAAACAATTGTGATCCAGAAAATTCTTTCGGATCTGGTAAAGGAGATAGTAGACTAGAATCCACTTCTGCACCAGAAGATTCATCGTCAGATGACGTTAAATTTTTTGCAGCAGCTCTATCATGCCGTGTTTGTTTTATATTTTCTTCATCCTCAGTATTTATATCGGATATACTTTCAGCCATCGTTAACTTTTCTTGGCCTCGTTCAAAAGTATCTAAGTATAATTAACAATATAAATACAAAACACACACATAGATAGACAATCAAGAATAGTATAGAGAATTATGTGTCGACAGCTTGATCTTAAAAGAAAATATCAAAATTTCCAATAAATGGAATTAATTTTTTTTTTCTTTTCGGCAATATCGGTCCAATGAATCAAGTCAAAATAACATTTAATTTCATTTATTATATCAGTTGTTGATATAAACCTTTGTTTACATTGATTTTATTCATTGAATTGATATTTTCAAGAAGGAAAAAAATGAATTTTATTTTAACACAAAGAAGGGAAGTTTCAGTAAATAATTGTAGATATACCTGCTGAAGCAAAAATGCGTAGAACGTCATACATCATCCAACCAGCTTTTACATTTTTTAAATCCGGTATTTCTTTACTCTGTATAGCCTTATTCAGCCTCTTTTTCACATCGTAATTTGGATAGAAACAAATCTGTTGCTTTTGATCGGATATCCGCAACCAGTTATTAGGAACTAGTGCTAACCCGTCATTAAATTCAACTACATAGAAGTTTTCTGTAAACTATCAATGAAATATATGTATAATGATAAATTAATTTATTGACAATAAATATTAATCATGTGCATTTCTATATTTACCTCTAAAGAAGATCCTTTCTTCATTTTTTAGGAAGGAAACTGCTCGCGTCTCAGAAGTATTGAAAACTATGGCTTAAAATGTTCAAAACATAACCTACAAAAAAAGCAGCGGTTTATTACATTAGTTCAATTTTAAATAATGACATGTAATCGCGTGTGCATAAACTAGATTCAGTTAATTTTTATTCAATTTTTAAAGTTATCTGTTATTCATGTTTTAATCATATGTACATTTACCTTTCTACAAATTCTCGAATTTCGAGAATGAGACGAAGACAAGAAAAAAACAAAGACAACAAAGGATGAATATGGACAAGTATCGCCGAATGGTCACAAATATGCAAATCCTTCTGGTTCATATATGCACACTTTTAACTTATTCATTTATTGTAACCTTGACGAGATGCAGCAACCAGCAGACACAAGTTGGATATTAGTCGGACGAAAGCAATAAAGTTGGTCGCAATAGTTAGTCGTTCGAACTATCGATTTATTGAAATCAGAATATTGTCAATCATGCCATTATTGCAAACATCATAAATAATAATTGAGAGAAAATTGAATGAAATATTAACTTTTTAACTCTTCTTGTTCATATTTGCAATTATCGCATTACGATAATCATGTGTTCTTATATTATGTTTATATTGTTAGAATGTTATATTGCGCTTCAAAAGTAGTTTTATTATCCACAAACGTGTCGAATAGGAATGACATATAATTTTGAATTAAATTTAATTTTCCACATCTTTCCTTGTATTTCATTCAAAGGATAACATATCACATTACTATTTATTTCTTCAACAGCATTAATGCCCAAATTCTCTGATGAAAATGGTCGTGAATATAAAACATCTAATTTCCTCAATTGATAACCAACAACATACGTTATATTATTAGTACATTTCACGACATTCTTAACTGTAAGTAAGTTTCCATCTTTTGTCATGATACAATTATTTGCTTCGCTGTTGCAGTCGATTTCATAATTTTCTAATAATAATAGTTTCCTGTATTGCGATTTAATAATATCTTGAATTTCATCGGCCACTATACCAGTAGTATGTTTTCCTTTTAATTCAAATTTATGAAGTGAATGAAATGATTTATTCTTCATACTCTCATATCGATTTTGTCTTCTTTCCATGTATCGTCGTATAACTTGCTGCAGTGGTTTTTCTGCTTTACACAGAAAACTTTTTAAAATTTGTAAAAAGTTTTCAAATCTAAATGAGCTAAAAGAATCAAGTGATCCAAATTTTCGAGTTTCATTAGAGAGATGTAACAAATTATGTACATTATGAGACATATATTCCTTGCCATAAATTTTCTCAAATGATTCAACAAAATGTTGCAATAGTTTTTCTGCATAATCTACATTGTTTTTATTTACTATTAGCATTGGACTGATGAGTATTGATACAGCCACATGTAAGGTCAAAAAGTGTGTGTATATATCTCTATTTAAAACTGTTTTTAAAACAATAGGTCCAGTATATAATAAAAATTGCCGAAATTCTGTGGCTTTCCAGTATGCTACTTCATTTAAACTTCGAGGTCGTCTTGAAAATTCTTTGGGCACAGAACTTCTTAAATTAATAAGTGCTTGCGAAATATTATCTTTTGCTTGAGCACGAATGCGAACAGCTAATGGTCCACTTATCCACAACAATATAATTTTTTTTACAATGCCCAAACAAATCAAGTGCATGTAGTCAAGAGCAATATTCGACACTAATCCTAAATGAGGCACAGAGAGCAAAATTGTGGGCAATTCTCCTTGATGATAATCAGAGTCTGTCTGATGTACAAAATCTTCGTCAGTTCTGAGTGCACTTGATCTTTTTTCATAAAGAAAGCACATTTTAGAGTTAATGTAATCTCCGCTAATGGTACATTTAGTACAGCTTGAATAACCATTATGTCCTTTAACATTTAAAATAAAAGATTTTGCTGGAGCATCGCAAATAATGGCTTTAATATTAACTTTAATATCACAGTTTAACATGTCTGAATGATATCCTCTCTGTATTAATGGTATTAATTCTTTCACAAATTGTTGTAAGAATTCATTGGCATTGTTTGGTTTCTTTTGACCAAAAAATAGTCCGACCATGTACACTTGGTTTGAAATATCGTCTGAAAGTAATATTGGCTAGAAACTCTTTGGCGATGATCTGGATAATGGCAAACCATCTATGTTAATTAATAAATTAACTTCAGATACTTTCAAAGACATACTTTTATAGTGTAGCAGGAGTACTTCTAAAGTATTCGAAACACCAAAATGATAATACGATCCTCCAGATAATGTAACTATTTCAGCAGTTTTTCTAGGTGTTTTTAGAAGCGTTCTTGCATTCTTCGGCAATGTATTGAATTGTGAATGTGGAGTATGCCTCAGAATTCTAATCAGAGCATTAATTGCGTTATGCCTAATTTTAAATGCAAAAGACCAATTTCGAAGATTGTGCAACAATTCATTATCCTTACTTTTATCTTCATCGTCAATATATTCACTATCCATATCCTCTGCAGCGTCACTGGAATCATCAGAGTCATACAATAACGATAACATTTCTTCTTTTTTTTCCTCAATATCAATCAAATCTTCGTGATCTGTGTCCATTTCTGATGAGTTATGTATTTCATCCGACGAAAATTCTTCTTTATTATTGCTACTAATGTTTGACGAATACTGATTGATGTGCTTGTGATCAATATTAAAAGGTGATGTTGAAATTGATAATTGATCATTTACATTTTCAATTCGACATTTTTTTATATATTCGACAGATGGACCATCAAAATCAGTCACATTACTGCTTGACGATTCTAGTAACAAATAATCTTTTTTCGTTTCTTCTTGTGCTAATCGTCTCTTATGTCTTGAAGAAATATCACAGTTATTTCTTTTATCCATATTATAAAAATTATTATTATGTATCTATAAAACACGTAATCAAATACACATTAACTGTGTACAGCAATTACATATCTATTCTATTGCAAAATAAGAACTTACCTTAATTAGATTCACTGTTTAATTTAAAGGTGATTGTGAAGAAGAGGGATTTCCTAGCTACGATTGATTTTGTGAAAATTTCACAATATTACGTGAAACACTCTTAATTAAAAAAAAATTTATCAAAAACTCAGCTGACATTTAAGATCACAATTGTTTAAGGTTAGGAAACCTCTCATACCGATTAAATATGACTACGCGCGCATGCGTTTTTATAATTATCTGTCGCTATATATCAACTACGTGTTTGATACATTTATATATTTATATAATATGCGCAACATACCTGCATGTTATATATATATATTTTGACTTGGATATTTTATATCTATTGCGCTAATTATGTATTTAATACATTATGTTTGATATGAAATGAAATGCAATGTAAATGCAATATTGTTACGTATTTAATATATATTTACAATGAAAGGTGCTGTGCGGGAAACATAAAAAAAAAAGAAAAAAATATAATACTGTAACAAAAGTGACTTATCTTTGATCATATGCAATATTAGCTATCCTTATAATCGTAACTCATTGTTACTCGTCTTCATTATATATCTTTTTTATTGAAATTATATATCTTTTTTATTGAATTATTTTCTTAAAGATACTTAATTCATTATCTTCATCATATACGTTTTCTTCGTTATTGTCAGTTTTCATCTCATCTTCACTTGTAGTGCTGACATCAGTTGCAAATTTATTATTGTTCATGTCATCTTGATGCCTGTCTTGATGCCTGTTATTAAAAATACATCAATATTAATAAACAATGTTAACAGATAAATTTTGTTCATAAAATATATTAGCCATAAATAGGTTATAAATACAATTTAAAAGTATAATAAAAACACAGTTTTTAATAAATCCTTACGATACAACCCAGCAAACCACAATATATTACATAGATGTAATTGTAACATAACACGAATGTCATGAATATTACATGTAATATTACTTGTATAAATAATGTTACGTTTATGATATGACTCTATGTCAGCAACATTGAATATATCATTTACATATCAGATACATTTAAAATGATATATATTCGATACATATCTATAACATAATATAGATATACCCAGATGGCCAAATGCAATGAGGTTGCTCTCATGTTGCCAATAATTCTTGAAGCAACTAATTTTAACAAACTAGAGACAAGGTGAGACAGCATTATGTCTGTTACGTTGAATTCACATGAATTCATGTGAGTTCAACGTAACAGACATAATGCTGTCTCACCTTGTCTCTAGTTTGTTAAAATTAGTTGCTTCAAGAATTATTGGCAACATGAGAGCAACCTCATTGCATTTGGCTATCTAGATATATCTATATTATGTTATAGATATGTATCAAATATGTATTATTTTAAATGTATCTGATATGTAAATGATATATTCAGTATTGCTGACATAAAGCCAAATCATAGTAATATATTGTGGTTTGCTGGGATGTAGTATTATATTGAGTATTACTTTATTGGCAAATGTAGAACACTTCAAAAGTAGAAAATAGTAATCACGAATTAAAGCACAAAGAACTCGTGCACTGTCGTGCAGCCAGTTTTAACGTTAGGTTAACGCGCACTGTGGTCGTGCCACGTAATGGCGCGACGACTCACACAAACCAATCACAGATAACCACATGTATTAATGCGCGAGAGCGTTCTGCGCTCGAAACAATGGCTGCGTTCACGCATGCGCGCATTTATCTATAGTATACGTTACGCATACTATAAATAAATGCGCGCATATGCGTAAACGGAACGCAGCCAATTAATATTCACCATCATCAAATATAAAATATTTTTATAATCATAATTAAATTTCCTGCAAAGACACAACAGTAGTCAAAAGACACAACAGTAGTGTCTTGTGCTAAGTTCACGCAAACAACAATAATAAAACGCGTCTTATATTGTATTAGTATTAAACAATAAAAATTTAAGTTAGCATGTATATCAGGAGTAAATTTTATTTATATTATAGAATAAACCTATATAAAACAATATTTTTTCAACGTTAAATATGTATTTCTTAATTATTGAAAAAACATTTTAAATACTAATTTATTTAATAGTAAATATATGTTTTCTAAACGTTAAAAATATATATTCAACCGTTTTAAAATAAATATCAAATATTAATAAAACATTTTTTCAAATGTTAAAATAAATATTTTTGTAATGAATGAAAGGAGACTTAACTCCATGATTTTCAACATTTTTCAAACATTTTTAAAAATATTTTTAAAAACATTGTCTGCTGATTGGGTTATTGTTGTTTGTATATAATAATGATTTTAAAAAATATTTATGTAATGTTCATTTAATTTCTATTTCATATTAATTATGCCAAATATAAATAAATATTAAATTAATGTTTAATAACTGTTAAATAAATATTTTAATAAATTATATTATATTTGGCATAATTAATATAAAATAGAAATTAAGAAATAAGCATTACATAAATATTTTTTAAAATTATTATTGAAAACAAAAAATAATGTTAATGTAAATGTAAAAATATATATTAAATAAATATTAAATAAATATTAAATAAACATAACATTATTATTTTCTCTAAATTGCTATTTTAAACAAACGTTTCATAAAAAATAAATATTAAATAAACATTAAATAAATATTATATTTGTAATAAATTGTAGAAATGTACAATTAATGAATAATAAATATTAAAAATATATTTAAAAAACATTCTCTGCTGGTTGGGTAGTTGTGTTTCTCCCTCGAGATTCGTTTTTTCGACGAAGTCTCACATGGACGCATCAGTCTCTCTCGTTTTTTTGAATTTAATTATATAACGTTTTTTATTTGTGACTCGTCATGGTTTTTACAAGCGCTATGTTTGCCTCTTGATTATTATATTTTATCGGTAAATTTGTTTACTCTTTATTCTGTTTTGTGCTTTTTACGTATTCAAACCGTTAATTTAATGTATTTTAAATCCTTCCAGTATATACTTGATAAGGACCACAACCATATGGTCGAAACGTCGTATTAAATAAAGGAATTTTCTGGCTAGTTTGGTCGAATATAATTTTTTCAATAATCCTATAATAACTTTGTTTGAAATATGTTGTTGCATAATAATATTTATTTTTCTATACTGTTTTTGAAGTAATAATTTATACACACTAATTCCATTTAGTATATTTTCAGTTTTCAAGATGGACAATTTTTTTATTCATGGGTAATGATGAGATGATGTGGCCACATCCCATCTTTAAAATTAGGGGACAAGTAGACTACCGTAGGGGTTTTAGTGGATAAGAATCCCACACTACCCTCGGTTTCCTTCCTTGGAATCGAGGGTGTCTTTGGAAGATTTCCCCCACGTAAAAAAAAAAAAAAAAACATTTAAAAATTTAATGGGCAATTTAAAAGGCAAATTTGTTTATATATATTTTATATATAAATTTGTATATATATGTATATATATACATAAACAAATTCGCCTTTTAAACTGTTCATTAAATTTTTAAATCAATTATTGTACATTTACTGTTATAAATAATATTAAATAACACACATAAATATATATTTCTAATGATACTGTATTGCTTCTTATATAATAACTATATTTAGTACTATATTATAAGTTAACTATATTATAATTTAAATGTAAATATAATTTAAATATCCTTTTTTTGTCAAATATAATCACATTTATAAATGTAATAATATACCAGAAACTTGAAAAATAATAAAACAAAAAAAACATGGGATTCGAACCGTGATCCGCGTCGTGAGATACCGAACGCTTTAACATTCAGCCACCACGCAATATTAATGTCAGCTTCAATAATTTCGGTACTTATGCTATATTTACATAAGATGTGTTAATATTTTTCTAAATTAACATTATCCCCAGCAAACACACATGTAACTGATATTTCTTGTTATATAACCAGAAAGTATCTGGGAAGTATCATTGATATGTAACTAATTTATGTATATGACACATAAATGTGTTCTGTTTAATACATTTCATATATGTAAAAATAGCATATAAAAGATACGTAAATGTACTACTATTTGATACGTATTATTAACTGTGTAACGATATGTATCGTATTTGTAGCTGATATATATAAGTGATATTTAAATTGGACGTGATAGAACGAATTGTGCGTTTGTGCAGTTGTAGTGTCGCATTAAAAGTTATTCACAAGTATCGCGCACATGATTGCAAAATATATCTGAGGTAAAATATAAATTTTAAATAACTTATTATACTATACTAATAATAATAATCTTAAAGTGCGTAAAAATGTCGAAAAGAAAAGATTTTTGTGATTTATCAGTTCGCCAACAGCGTAGACGTATTGTTAACCTAACAAATGAAGAGGTTAACCTCACAAGATGCAGTGAATTATTAAATGCATCGACAAATAGTATATTGTTAATAATGATGCTGCTTTTATACCGAATCTTAATAATGATGGTATTGAATCTAAAAGTGATTACAGTAATTTCGAATCGTTAAGTGATATCGAAAGCGACGAAAATTTTACCGTAAAAATGCAAAATGATTCGACACATGATATTACATATGATATACGTTTTTGGATTTTAAAATATAATATAAGTCATGCAGCAGCAAATGATCTTCTAAAAATTTTGAAAAAGTACGAACATCATAAAAGTTTGCCAAAAGATGTCAGATCTTTAATGAAAATACCACGAAATATACAGTCGAATATTACACATATTTTCGAAGAGGGCAAATATATACATTTTGGTTTAGAAAAAGGCATCAGAGCTTCTATATACAAACATTATGTTAATTTACCGCAAGAAATATGTTTAAATTTTAATATAGATGGATTACCTGTATCCAAAAGTTCTTCTGGGCAATTTTGGCCTATTTTAGC